ATGTTTCAAGAAAATGGGTCTGTTCGCCCAGTTACTTTCGTCTCAGTTCCATGAACCGATATTCACATATGCCTTTTTAAATTATTTTGAACAGTTTTGTTTTGTTGTATATATATATATAGGTGTCATGATATATTATTTCAAAAATCCAAATGGACTATTAACTAATGTATAATATGCTACACGCATATGCGTGAAAGTCTTGCAACTGGACATTCAGAAATCTAACAATTGCTGAATCATTCATTAGACTGTTAACTTTACAATACATATGTAAATATATATAATATAAAGTGCCTAGAAAATCAACCTAACATTGTTAAGTTGATTTTCTAGGCACTTTATAAATATGATAACGCCTGGTATTTCTTAATCATAAGAAATCCGATGGACAAGGTATAATTTGCAGTTGTCACTACACATATGCAGATATATATATATATAATATATATATATAAAATGTCTGAATAATAGCCAACGATAAATCTTATGGGGCGATGGATCATAAAATTATGATACAGTACACTACAAAATATAATATATAATAAGCAAGTCTAAAAGGGTACAACATCACAAAAAAAAAGTAAAATCATGAACAAATGTTAAATAGTTCGGATAACTAATATCCTTCATCAGTAAGATGTCAAATGATTCTTATCTTGACATGTGGTAGTCAAACTGAAATAATAATCTTGATCGTTATACAAATTATCACGAATCAATACGCTGGTAATTTTTTTCAATATTGATGTTTGGGAGGAGGAATAAATTCCTTAAAACTGTAAGAGTCCTGTACTGAAGCCTGAGTTACAGGAAACTCATACTATGTTTTTTCATTAATGCCATCTGGAGAAACAGTCCTTAACTTTCTTATCCAAAAACTTTCCCAAGCAAGTCTATCGGCCCTTTACCAACTCTCGTTGTGGTCTATGATAGAGATGGTAAGGTTTTTGAGATCAGCTTTGGCGTGCCCAGGTGATCTCAAATGACGACTTACGGGGAGGTCGGGCATGCGTTTGTTGAATGGCTGTTCTGTCTCGCCAACATACTGCATGCCACATCGACACTGCAGAAGGTATACAACATTCTGGGTTTTGCAAGTTACATTGCAATATATAGTGTATGCGGACCCAGTGGAGTGGCAAGTAAATGTTTGAGTATTCAGTATTTGTTGGCAAGTCAGACATCGTCTGTTACCACACGACTTGCACCATCCTGCAGTTGAAGAGCTTTTATGATATAAGTACAAGTGACAACTCTACGACAGATCCATCCATTGGATCACCAGTGAAGGTGATACACGGCTGAAAACACATATTATATTCATAATTACTCTTTATATCAGCCCAACAATGTTAGATCTATAAATTTGCGAAAGCAAATTTTTTGTTGTTCCCTGGCAAGGATTCGAACTCATGTATATATATATAAACAAGTCTAAATTGAAAACAATGTTCAAACCTATCATTGCGTTGGATAAAAATCGCAATTTTTATATGTGTGCATGCAAAACAAATTTCTTGGTAGAGGGGTCTAAAAACAGCACAAACAACATTTTCCAAAAGACCAAAAAAGTGAAAAAGTATATTTAACAAAACGCATTTGACTAGCAGATCGAACGACAGATGCTCTTAAATCCTGCTGACTGCCATTGGCGATTGCCAAATAAACGGATCCCAGATGTAACAAAATGGATCTTAATTATTAATTTAATACCAAACAGAAAACAATAAACTTGCGGAAAAGATGATATACCGCAAACATAAGGTGCAAAAATTTGGTACACCATATCCGGATTTCGACAATTAATGTCTCTTCAGTGATGTTAGGAATCGAAACGGTATTTGGAAGGCCACATAATTTACCTCAATTTAGGATAGACTCTTGAATTTTGAACAGTCGAAATAGGATGAACGGATTATATAAACCCGAAGGCAAATATAATACAAGCCCAAACCAAAAAATATATACAAGTCTAAATTGAAAACAACGTTCAAACCTATGATTGCGTTGGATAAAAACCGCAATTTTTATACGTGTGCATGCAAAACAAATTTCTTGGCAGAGGGGTCTAAATACAACACAAACAACATTTTCCAAAAGATATAACTACTCTAAATATCAGCACAACAATGTTAAATCTGCAAATTTGTGGAAACTAATTTGTGTTCTTCCCTCGCCGGGATACGAACTCATGCTATTGGGATATCGAGACAACACCGCCTGCACTATGTCCATCGCTCTAGACCACTCGGCCACCTAGACTATTATATGTATATAATAAAAACTATAACACAATTTTCCATACGTTTCGGCTATTACGGTCTTCTTCATTGGAATAAATAACAACAATGTATATATATAGATATATATGTATATATGTATATCGTTTATCCCGTTTATGTTTGTTTCATTTTCTAATATGGTTTATCCCGTTTATGTTTGTTTCATTTTCAAATATGGTTTATCCCGTTTATGTTTGTTTCATTTTCTAATATGGTTGATCCCGTTTATGTTTGTTTCATTTTCTAATATGGTTTATCCCGTTTATGTTTGTTTCATTTTCTAATATCGTTTATCCCGTTTTTGTTTGTTTCATATTCTAATATATACAAATAATTGTACAGATGAAAAGGTGTTTTTCAGCTGATTTTCCTCCCTTCTGTGAAAGCCGATGATTAAGCGTTTTCACCCACTTCGAACTGTTTTATAATGTTGTAACATTGTAATACGCATGTATTTTAAATGTTTTTGAATAATTTTGCAGTTTTCATTTTGCCCCCTCAAAAAGAATTTTTTTTTTTTGTATATGCTAGTAAAAGTGCAGATTCATTATTCACAAATTTCATTAAAAAAACCAAAACGCTGATATAATTTTTGTCCGTCTAACACTTTTTTTTTCAAACTTTTCAGGAAATTAATATGAATTTTACCCAGCATTTAATAAGTATGCGATCTTATTTCTAATATTGCATCTTTTGATTACAACCGGAAGCAAGAAGCTATACAACAATTATTCGCGACGTCACAGTTGTACCATAGTAGCGTCGTCGTCGTTGAGGAAAAAGTTTCAACGATACACTCACGAAATTTGAAGCGCTGTTCTTTTTATTAAAAAATAATTTTCGCTGATCGAACGAAAACAGAAAGAAAAGCGTATAAAGGTAAGAAAATATCCTACTTATAACATACAGTAACTTATACAAAACTTTCTTTTGATATCCTTCATGTATGTCTATGTTTATTTCGCCCTTGGAAAGTCTTTCTATTTTATATTATTTTTCTTTGGAGACGTGTAGATGTTAGATATATCTACTGCGACTGATTCTTGTTTAATGAGAAATGACTAAAAGTGCAGTTATTTACTGACTACATCACCGAAAATACAATACAAATGTATAAAATCAAAGCTTACAGAATATAAGGATGACTTTTGTGATCAATTTCATTTTGTTCTCAAAATTGATTGACATGCCCGCAGCAAATCAGGCGGAAGCAACTTGCGATTAGTCCTTTTCCTATAACGAGGGTCTGGATGGGGGTCTGTTGTGATCTCATCAATAGACAGTTGAGCGGCGCGCTATACTGTACGTCTAGTAAGCGGACTTCATAACAGGGTCCTTCATTTCTGTAAATTTCTTTATTTTTTCAGGTAATTTTTCTCTATTATTTATATTTTTTGCCAATTACTCTCTATTTTATAAGCACCCCATTATTTTCTTCTTTTTTTTAAACTTTTTTTTCTATATTTATTTGTTTAGCCTTTTATTCTGCACTTTTTGCCCATTATTCTCTATTCTGTAAACCCAATCCATACCATCTATAATGCTAACTGATGTCCCACACGCGGTACACCTTGAAATTAAATAGAGTTCAACCATTTTCCCTTGTCAACTATGTCAGGATGTTAAATGAATATTAGATGGAACCATGGAGCATGCTTAAATTTCAAATGTCATTTTGAGACATTGACTCTTTTAATAACTTTGACCTTGAAATCAAATAAGATATGCAACAGTTCATGCCATGGAAAGCTTTTGCTAATATTTGATGAAGGCTGGACACAAGCATAAAGATCACCAGTGTGTAATCGCGATGAATAACATGATACATAGACAACAGTTTCTATACCCCTTTTCCAATTTATTACCTTTGTAGTAGATAACAATGACAACATGTATAAACTGTACACTACTGGTGGCCTACCTTTAAAAAATCTAGATCCGCGCCCGTATATCTAGTGCGTGTTCACTTGAAAACAAAACTAGTTTTTGCATTATTATAGCTTATCGGTACCGTTTAAGTATAGAAAATACTTTTAGTACAATAAACAAATCTAAAAATCTAAGACGAGGAAAAAAAGCTAACTATAGATAAACAGACATTATGTAGATATTAGATTGATTGATCGATTGATCATTAATTATCAGTTTGATTGCAAATAGTTCATATAAAAAATAAGGAGATGTGGTATGATTGCCAATGAGACAACTATCCACTAAAGTTCAAATAAAGTGGATGTAAGCAATTATAGGCAACCGTACGGCCTTCAACAATGAGAAAAACCCATACGGTATGGTTATTTACTTAATGGTTTAATCGGGATACAAATGCAGAATTTTCAACGGCATTGGTAAATGAAAACATGTTTTATAGGGACAGAAATATTGCCTTGTAAGAAGCTTCACACATACTCCACACTGGAGTTGTTGCAATAGTTCTTGAGTGAGCGTGGTATATTTTTAACATATGGCTTTTCATTTTACGTTCCGATTCCGACCGGACGCGGCTGCGGTACAGCCAGACGGTTGCCCCTTGTCGGGAGTCGTGACCCTCAGATAGAGAAACTGGGACCGATTTCTATGGCTCGGGGTTCCTTTTGGTCGCGTAGGAGTGGGGGTAGAGAATACACAAGTACTATATATATAGGTAAACTGCATTTCAAATCAATCTAGAGTTAAATGAAAGCAGTCGAACAGAAAATTTCATTTTTATTTTAGTCATGGATGATTTGGAACACCCCTTTCCGCTGTTAGAAGCTGCAAAGAAAGAGCTTATCATGCAATATAAAGAAAAGGCGGAGTCTAGTCAAGAATTGGAATTTTGGCAGAGGATAGAAGTTGTCAGGGAGAATTACAAATCTCCAACAGATGTTACTTCTGATGAAGAAATAACAGGTTTGCATTTATTTATTTATTGAAATTTGGTAGAAAAGAAAAAAACGAAAAGGGTGGCCAAGGGATTTTTTTTTTTTTTTTTTTTTTTTTTGGTGGGGGGGGGGGGGGGGTGTTTGCTCGATTAATAATCTTGAAAACTTTTACTTTTGCATTTGTAGTACAAAACAGTTAATCAACCAATTCAGAAATGGTTTTGCATCATGGAAACGTCACAGTTTTTGACGTTATAATGGATTTGTCAAGTCGTCATTTGAGAATACGAAGACGAAACTCGAATTTTCAGCACTCCTTATAAATTGCATATATGTAAGCTTTCCTATCATAATCATTAGAATAGCGCTCTTATATTGAAACATTTGAAAACAATTGATCAATGAAGTTTTTAGTTTAAGTATATGAGTATTAGGTTTATGTTTTATCACCACCAACACCAACTCTATTTATAATCTTTTGAAAAATAGTGAGAGAAAAATCGACTGAAAATAAGAAAACGGACGAAGACAAAGTATTAAAAACAACTATATGCGTGAATATTGAAAAGGAAAATGGAGCAGGTGATAATACAGATTTAGCAAAGAATACATTGATATATCAGAAGAATGGTTTGAATTATTTGCGTAAGTAATCGGATGAAAACCGAAGCGCCATATAAGGGTCTGGATTTGGGGTCCTTCAATTCTATTTTCTTAAAATTTTTTAGCCATTTTCTCTAGTCTTTATAAATTTTACCCCTTATCTCTATTCTTTATATTTCAGTACCCCACTATTCCCTAATTTTTACTTTATTTGTCTATTTTTCTGTAACATTGGCTTATTATTCTCTCCATCCAGACCCTCACATGCATATGCTTTGAAACGAACCAACTTCGAAACTTTTAGATACATACCAGATCGACTGATCGATTTTTTTTTACATTGCTTAAAATACAAAATAAATAGATATTTAAATAAATAATAAGGAACCCAAGTCTTTTATGACAGTCTTACATTCTCTTTTGAATTTTTTTTTCTCTTTGTCATTCCGTTTTGCTCATTATTGTTGAGGACCGTCCGGTGATATATAGTTTCGATCCTCGTCCTTTAGTATTTGGTGAATATTTGTCTCATTGGCAATCATACCACAGCTCCTTATTTTTATATCATAGCGAGTGACTTCTGCTTTTGCAATTACCCTTTTTACGACAAGAATCTTAGAAACATGTTGTTTGTTGGCTTGTCACAAGGTTTAGCTAGCTATAAAAAAAACAGGTTTGATCCACCATTTTCTACATAAGGAAACGCCTGTACCAAGTCAGGAATATGACAGTTGTTTTCCATTCGTTTGATGTGTATGATTTTGCCATTTTGTTAAGGGACTTTCCGTTATAAATTTTCCCTGTAGTTCGGTATTTTTGTTATTTTACTTTTTTTGTAAAGTATATAAAAACAGAAGAAGCCTGGTGTCCATACTTATACACCATATGTACCTTTTGTTGTTATTTCCTCATAAAATATATAATATATATATGTATATATATGTTACAGTACAAATTGGAATTCAGAAAGGTTCTATAATACCCCAAGTACAAATTCGAATTCTGATTTATACTATTTGAAATCCAGTACAAATCAGATTCAAATATTTACAAGTAGAAATTGGGATATCCAGATTTGTACTAGGAGGATCCTGGATTGTTCTAGATAATTACTTTAAAAGACACACTAATAACCGTTACAATATTTTGATTTACTTCATGATGAAATAAACGTATAAGCATTTTTTTTTTAAACTTCTCTGAATCAAAAGTTAAAGAGGTAGAACCTGAATTTATTTTACTGCAGATCTTTACCTAGAAGTCCTTCGATCTTAACTAAAAGTCATAACTTTAAGGTTTATATATACACTTCGGTGTGTTTCCGAACATTTGATCCCGTTATGTGCATATCCCAAGTCAGGAGCCTGTTGTTGTGTGATTGTCAATGGTTCATGTCGGCCATATTTGTTATTCGTAAATTGTTTTGTTATAAATAAGGCTGTTAGATTTCTCGTTTGAATTGTTTTACATTTTTCATGTTGGGACCTTTTATAGTCGAATATGCGGTATGGGTTTTTCTCATTGTTGAAGGCCGTACGGTGGCCTATAATTGCTTACATCCACTTCATGGACTCTGGTGGATAGATGTCCCATGTGCCATTATACCACACAACCTTATTTTTATATGTCTACTAAGTTTTAATTTGATGTGACCATACACTCCTTTTAACCAAATGTTAACCCAATACGAAACGAACGGACGGACGGATGAATAGAGCGGAAAAAGATAATGCTCCTCTACTGTCTTAGACCGGGCATACAAAAAGGTTTTAAAATTCTATTTACAGGACACGAGGGAACAGTTAGACCACCGAAAGTAGAAGAGGACGAGAAGAATCAGGTGGAACAATTCATCAGCGGTATAATCAATGATGCCGTTGATGAATACAGCACCGAATTCTGGAGGGCCTTGGAAGCCAAAATCCAGGAAAGTACAATAAATTGTGGAGAAGAAGAACTGGACACCGATATAGATTCAGAGGAGAAAAACAAATTTGAAGCAAGAGAGTCTAAAAAGGAAAAGAAATTAGAAATAATTGAAGCCAACGAGGAAATGAAACTAAATTTACAGGAGACCTTAGAGAAAATGAAACTGCAGACAACAGAAGCAATTAAGAAAACAAACCTTGATTCAAAGCAAACAAAAGAGAAAAAGAATCAGGAAGCAAAGAAAGCAAGAGAGATAAAGAACCGGAAAGCAAAAGAGTTAAAACAAAAATTGAAGTTAGAAGCCAAAGAATCCAAACAGAAAACGAAGCTTGAAGCTAAAGAATATAAGGCGAAAAAGAAGCTTGAAGCTAAGGAATGCAAAGAGAAAAAGAAACTTGAATATAGAGAGAAAAGGAAGCTTGAGGCAGAGATATCGAAAGAAAAAAAGATGAACAAAAAGCAGTTAAAAGAAGGAACTTTGATGCTACAAGAAGCGACAGAAATAAGAAAATTAGAAGGTAATGAATTTCAGGATAAAAGGATACTAAAAAAAGAGGAATTAAAAGAAAAAGAAAATATGAAAATAAATGACACGAAAGAGAAAACAGTTACAGGTAGGGTATCAAAAACAAATTTTTAAATGTGGGTTCAATCTTCACTATCAATCTAGTATTTATTGAAAAAGAAAGCACGGATGCACATGAGAAGAATGTGATGAAACTTTTTGATACAATAGGTATACTACAGCAGCGATTCTAATTCCTACATAATATTATGTTCGAATTTTTGTTATATCAGTCTGCTAATAATGCTTTTTGTTTCAAATTAACAACCAAGTGAGAGTTTTTTCCCTCTCAAGTTTTTAAAAATAATTTTAAAAAAATTATGAGAAATGATTTATCTGCTTGTACTATATCTTGACCTCTTGCTATCTTATTGAATCGCCTTTTGTTTAAAAGATGTAAGTAAATTAGAAACAAAGCTGTATAGAAAAGCTTTAGGTCTAACATGGAAGTAATATTTAAATTCAATATTACTTCCATGGGTCTAATAACTTGATTTTTCTTTCAAAATTTATTTTGCAGATGGAGAAAAACCTGTAAAGAAATCAAAGTTTGGTGATTTTATCACAAACCTGTTTTCATGCTTCAGAGTTGACAGTAAAACCTCCTCCTAGAAAACAACCTATATGTTATAACCACGTGGTTATAATGTTGATGAGACGTTGTCTATTGACTTTTTTAAAAGTTTTTATTTATTATTGTTTGAATTGTACATACGTTTTATTTTATTTTGTCACATTAAATAAATACAAAGTGTGTTATTTTTATATCACAAAAAGCAATGATATAGTTCGTACATTTTTACTAAGAAAATACGTGCTCGCCAAATTTTGTCAATATAACGGAACTATAAACAACTGTTATACAAGTGGAGGGTTTAGCTAGCTATAAAACCAGGTTTAACCTGAGTGATCATCATACGGTCAAACGCCACACATTATACACAACTCATCTTGTACATGTTTTGCCGATCAGGAATCGTATATGGTCACAGGCGTAAACCAAACTTTAATTGAAATCGTCTAACAGGTTATTCAATCAGCAAATGCCATCCCGTAAATAATATAGAAATATTAAAGGAGATGTGGTATGATTGCCAATTAGACAACTATCCACCAAAGTTCAAATGAAGTGGATTTAACCAATTATAGGCAACCGTACGGCCTTCAACAATGAAAAAAACCCATACCGTATAGTCGACTATAAAAGGCCCAGACCTGAAAATATGAAACAATTCAAATGAGAAAACTAACGGCCTAATTTATAACAAAACAATTTACGAAAAACAAATATGACAGAAATGAACCAACGACAACCACTGAACTACAGGCTCCTGGCTTGGGACAGGCACATACAGAACGCAAATAAGCTTCTTTTAAGACTTTGTAATAAAAAGTGAATACTAGGACAAAACTTATATTCACTTAATATCAATTGCATATTTATGGAATAGTAAAATATATTTTAATTAACCTATAGCTGTACAATGGAGCCTGTGGGAATGCAACCCGAGTATAAATCTATGGTATAATTTTCACATTTTACCATCATGGTTTTGTAAAATCTGGACTTCGAAAAGAAACAGAAAAAGAAGAAAGATAGCAAGACTTGGCAGCGACCGGCAGAATTTTTAGACATAGAAACAACAGAGTCAGCGCAGGGCCACTAAGCTTAACTACCCGCTTTGCACCAGCCGATGTAAATGAATGCCTAGGATGGGAATCGAACCCACGTACGCAATCTCCGTTGTCCTATAATTTTAATTGAACATAAGTTCGCCCCCACAACCAAAAAAAATTAAATAAAAAAAAATGAATGAATAAAATAAAAATATATATATATATTGAATGAAACATCTTTTTTTTTCATTGAGCCAAAAACTATAAATGTGTTAAGGGTTATATATATCATACTGGATAAATTGATTGATTGTTGGTTACTTAACGTCCAGTGGCA